ATCATAGAAAACGGGAAATTTGCATCACAGAAAATGGGAAATATCTACTTTCCGGGAAAGTTGGTTATCTACTTTCCCGAAAAGTATATTTTTTTTCTACTTTTCGGGAAAGTAGATTATCGACTTTTCTGGGAAGTAAATTATCGAATTTTGGGGAAATATTACCTAATTTTGCGAAGTAGATTATCATAGAAAACGGGAAATTTGTATCATAGAAAATGGGAAATATCTACTTTCCGGGAAAGTTGGTTATCTACTTTCCCGAAAAGTAGATTTTTTTCTACTTTTCAGGAAAGTAGATTATCGACTTTTCTGGGAAGTAAATTATCGAATTTTGGGCAAATATTACCTAATTTTGCGAAGTAGATTATCATAGAAAACGGGAAATTTGTGTCATAGAAAATGGGAAATATCTACTTTCCGGGAAAGTTGGTTATCTACTTTTCTGGGAAGTAAATTATCGAATTTTGGGCAAATATTACCTAATTACCTAAAAGTAGAGAAAAAATCTACTTTTCGGGAAAGTAGATAACCAACTTTCCCGGAAAGTAGATATTGCCCATTTTCTATGATATGAATTTCCCGTTTTCTATGATAATCTACTTCACAAAATTAGGTAATATTTGCCCAAAATTCGATAATTTACCTCCCAGAAAAGTCGATAATCTACTTTCCCGAAAAGTAGAGAAAAAATCTACTTTTCGGGAAAGTAGATAACCAACTTTCCCGGAAAGTAGATATTTCCCATTTTCTATGATACAAATTTCCCGTTTTCTATCATAATCTACTTCGCAAAATTAGGTAATATTTCCCCAAAATTCGATAATTTACTCCCCAGAAAAGTCGATTATCTACTTTCCCGAAAAGTAGAAAAAAAATCTACTTTTCGGGAAAGTAGATAACCAACTTTCCCGGAAAGTAGATATTTCCCATTTTCTATGATACAAATTTCCCTTTTCTATGATACAAATTTCCCGTTTTCTATGATAATCTACTTCGCAAAATTAGGTAATATTTCCCCAAAATTCGATAATTTACTTCCCAGAAAAGTCGATAATCTACTTTCCCGAAAAGTAGAAAAAAATCTGTTTTTCGGGAAATTAGATATCCAACTTTCCCGGAAAGTAGATATTTCCCATTTTCTATGATACAAATTTCCCGTTTTCTATGATAATCTACTTCGCAAAATTAGGTAATATTTCCCCAAAATTCGATAATTTACTTCCCAGAAAAGTCGATAATCTACTTTCCCGAAAAGTAGAAAAAAATCTGTTTTTCGGGAAATTAGATATCCAACTTTCCCGGAAAGTAGATATTTCCCATTTTCTATGATACAAATTTCCCGTTTTCTATGATAATCTACTTCGCAAAATTAGGTAATATTTGCCCAAAATTCGATAATTTACTTCCCAGAAAAGTCGATAATCTACTTTCCCGAAAAGTAGAAAAAAATCTACTTTTCGGGAAAGTAGATAACCAACTTTCCCGGAAAGTAGATATTTCCCATTTTCTATGATACAAATTTCCCGTTTTCTATGATAATCTACTTCGCAAAATTAGGTAATATTTCCCCAAAATTCGATAATTTACTTCCCAGAAAAGTCGATAATCTACTTTCCCGAAAAGTAGAAAAAAAATCTACTTTTCAGGAAAGTAGATAACCAACTTTCCCGGAAAGTAGATATTTCCCATTTTCCATGATACAAATTTCCCGTTTTCTATGATAATCTACTTTGCAAAATTAGGTAATTTTTGCCCAAAATTCGATAATTTACTTCCCAGAAAAGTCGATAATCTACTTTCCCGAAAAGTAGATTTTTTTTCTACTTTTCGGGAAAGTAGATAACCAACTTTCCCGGAAAGTAGATATTTCCCATTTTCTATGACACAAATTTCCCGTTTTCTATGATAATCTACTTCGCAAAATTAGGTAATATTTGCCCAAAATTCGATAATTTACTTCCCAGAAAAGTCGATAATCTACTTTCCCGAAAAGTAGAAAAAAAATCTACTTTTCGGGAAAGTAGATAACCAACTTTCCCGGAAAGTAGATATTTCCCATTTTCTATGACACAAATTTCCCGTTTTCTATGATAATCTACTTCGCAAAATTAGGCAATATTTCCCCAAAATTCGATAATTTACTTCCCAGAAAAGCCGGTA